ATTTCGAACAGGTCCCACGTGTTCCTATGTACATGTCCCGCACGCGCGACAGCAAAAAAATTTTTTAGGGAAAAAGAGCGTCATGGACAACAGCCCTGTGTCGGAAGTCGCTGCAACACTCGGAAGAGTGACGTTGTCGCTGTTGCGACGTTCGAATCATGCGATACTTAAGCTATGGCGACTAACAGATGTGGATGTCATCGGTCGGTCGGCGACTAGACCCTTCCTCAACACCGTACGATCGTATCGTTCGTAAGCAACTGATTTTGGTCTCACTGCCGTTGCGACGTCAACCGCCTCGTGAAGACCTCACCGCATGACAGACAGTTTGATATCTTCAACCGCTGAGCTCATACGACCAGTCTGTTTACTATACGTCGCATCGGCGGCGGCTACGCGAGCTTAATTCAGCTTGAAACATCATTTTATTTTAATTTATTATAAATACTACTCAGATGGAAAGATTTCTTATTGGGAAAGACGCAAATGAGAAGAACTATAAGCCGGTCGAGAACAATGACGACAAGACGATTGTGTCATCAAAACGAAAAAAGCGATGGTATAAGGACGAATATCTGAAATATGGATGCATTGCATCAGAAAACGATCCCTCGCTGCCGTTTTGTATGATTTGTGTAAAACCTCTCAGCAACGAATCGATGAATCCAAGCAAATTACTTCGATATCTCGAGACAAACCATCATCAACAAAAGAATAATTCAATCAGTTATTTCGAGAAGTTACGATCGAAGTTTCAAAGCCAATCAAAGAAATTTAAGAAATATTTAACTGCCTCTGATCAGGCGCAAATCGCTAGTTACTCGACTGCTGAACTCATTGCAAAGAAGAAAAGGCCCCACGCTGAAGCGGAGGAAATAATTCTGCCGGCTTTGAAAATTGCAACTGGATGCATGCTGACGAATGATGCTGTTAAGAAATTTAAGAAGATTCCACTGTCATCAAAAACAATCGCTCGAAGAATTCAAAATATGTCAGATGACACTGAGCTACAGTTGAATGAATGTTTCAACGATCCATCAAGAAAATGGGCGATCCAGCTTGACGAAAGCACAGATATTGAATTGGTCGATGAAAATGTGAAAAAGAACAATTTGATACGGGAAAATTGTATCAGCGTATGCACAGATGGAGCTCCTGCGCTGCAAGGCCGCAAAAGTGGTTTCGTCGCTCACGTTCTCAAGAAAAATCGAATCGTCAAACTTGTTCACTGCATGATCCACAGAGAAATTCTGGTTTCGAAAGCTCTTCCTATCATTCTCAAAGAAACTCTCAACGAAGTAGTCAGCGTGGTCAATTATATAAAAGCGAATGCTCTTCAATCGAGAACTTTTGCAGCTTTCTGTGAAGCAATGGATTCGGACTACAAAACTCTGCTCTTTCACACTGAAGTTCGATGGCAAATAAAAGGAAAAGTCCTGAACCGATTTGAGTTTATGAAAGTTGAAATCGTCTCATTCATGGACAACGAAGCACTTA